AAACACCGCAGTGGATTTTGAGGGGGTTTTGGATTGGCAGTACAAGCTAAGTAAAAAATTCCTTTTATTTGTGACATAATCCAGATTAGGATTTTGTTGTCCTTACGTAAAGCAAAAAATATTTTTCCGTCTGTTCTTACTCTTCATCCCATCCAGTTCTTCCAGGACCCTGGAAGATAGAATAATCTGATTTATCCAGTTTGAGTTTGTGAACTGCTCAACTATACAGAATCACAAACATCACAGCAATTGCTGTCTTCCAAGTACTTGTTGGTATCTACCTCTCCAGTGTGGTTTACCAGCATCCTAACATGTGTATTCACTGCTGCATGCCCCCTGCTGCTTGATTCACTGTAATAATTTCTTCCTTCTTGCTGTCTGAATTTTCTGACATGAAGAAACACTTCATTTGAGACTCCTGGTTTTCTACCACTTCTTAGTGCTATTATGTACAAAATACACACATACCAGCCCTTAGCTTTCCTCAGAGTGGTGTTTTGAGAGGCCTTCTTGCCCCTCAGTTCAGGTGTTTTCTGATTGTTGCTCTTTGTGATGCGTTCTAAATGATTTCTCAGTGGCTGGATGCTTGTTTGCTGCATTTGAGATGAAACTTGAATTTTAAATGAGGTAGATTGTAATCTGAATTTCTGTCTGGACCTTGCGGTGTTTTTCTTGGATGAGAACTCCACTTTTCTCCTGTTCCTGTGCGATGATATGATCAATCAACTGATCAAAAGAGGTACAATTCTATTTTCCCATCCTGTGATGGTGAAAGAAAGCATTTGCAAGGATAGAATGAGATTCTCCAAGCAGAGCTCATTTGTTGATCTCACTCTCTCCCATCGCAGTTTTGATCGGGAACAACTCTTCCCCTTGCGAGACTGAAATCCCACGTTCTCAGCAGCATGTTGTATCAACAGTTCTTGTGTTCATCTCTTGACCTCAGTTTCAGTAACCTGTGTTTTCTTGCAGGGCATTTACCATCAAATTCTTCTTTATTTCAAATGACACTGTGAAATTACCCTGTTTAATTTCATTGTTTAAATGGGCACTGATTTTTAAGTGTATTACATCTGGGTACAGGTTTTGTCTGGATATTACTTGTGTAGGACGTAATTGTAAATTATCCAGACTGTCTGCAAAGCCACTTAAAAATCCCAAGCCAACCCAAACCCAAAAGAATAGGGGTTTTCATGGTATAAGAAGAAAAATCACACTCTTTGTACCTCACTTATAATTCAGTTTCATATTATGTGTGAAATTACTTCTTTATTTCTGGATTGTCACACAGATTGTCTGTGTTTCCTTAAATTAAAGTGGTTCTTGATGACATCACTGAGGATTAGGTTTATCCCAATAAAATAAGCAATATTTAGCAAAAAGTTAGCCTGTTCTGAATTCACTTCTACATCTGCCAGTCAGTAGTTACTGAAAAGATTTCTTTCTTTTATTTTTCCTCCTCTTTTCCCCTTGGCTAGTTCAGCATTTTCAACCATTTTGCTTATTTTCAAAGGCTTACGCCTGAGGGATTAAGATCTACATTCGTTTAATATTGGGAATAAAGTGGAAGTTCCAGACTGCAAGGCTAAAACTTGAAGAAGGATCTTTGTAGAGATTAATATTTTCCTGAGCAATCTGCAAGCTGAATCATGGTCTAATTAAATAGCACAGATTTATTGAGTTTGCATTTAAACATTGGCAGACCCTAGAATGGGTAAAGCTGAAATGAGTTTGAATCTTTGCTGTAAATGGGGAGTTAAATTATCATAGTAATTTGATTACATAATTTTTAAATCTTTCAAGCTAAATGGCCATTTTAAAAGAACAGTTTGAAGTCTTAATCACTGTTGGAAGGGCCCCTCTCTCTGCTGTTTTTTCTTACCCCATTTCCTGTGACCAGATCTGTTCCCCAAGGCACAGCTTCCTGAACTGCTCCATGAAGCACCGTTTGGCAGTAGAGCACTTGCATCAGGGCAGCAGAGAACTGGCTGGTCACATTCTTCCCAACTACTAAATAGATTTCAAAGACAGCAACAAATACATTAAAAGCTTTACTACTATTACTTTTCCATATAAGTAATTACTCTGTTTACTGGAGGGATGGTACAGAATCACCCCTGCAAGGAGAGGGTAAGACTCCTTGGGTTTGGACACAATGGTAGAGTTTGGAGAGCATAGAGTGTAGTAGCTGTGTTAAAAAGTAAGATTTGATGTGTTTTCTGGGGGGTGTTCTCTTCCTCTTTCTCCTCCTCACTCAGTGTCATTGTAAGAAATATGTAGAGTGTAGATATTTCTAACACTGCAGGCTAAATTGCTATCCAAACTGCAGAGTTAAACATCTTAGGCAAGTGAAAAATATATTAGTGAAAAATATATTAGTCTGGAATCCATCCATCATCTATTTTCAAACTCAAACATGGTTACAGTTGCAAATACTGATTCTGGGAAGAATCAGACCAGTTTTCTAAAGGTTTAAAACCTAAACCTTTGTAGTCACGTTCTTCAAAAGTCCTGTCTCTTTATGCAGTATAGTGTTAAAAAAAAAAAGTCTCGAAGACAGTCAGTCTTGACTCACCAAGGATTTGTTGCAGAAAAATTGGTCCTATTCAGTTCCCCAGCAAATCTGGCCCTGACATTGTGAATCTGGGAGAGGAGGAAAAGATGTATAATTTCTGCACAAACAGTGAAAACGAGAGATGGAGATCTTGTGTTCTGTAGCACAGAAGTGAATAGCCAAGGGCTTGGGAAAGAGTTAGGGAATAAAGACAACAATTTGTTTGGAGTTTGCTTTCCAAGTTAAGCCTGGTGGCTGGACACTGCTTAAGACATCAGTCACGCCTGCGTGTGTGTTTGTGTGTGTTAGCATGTCTGTATTGATTACATATGTTTGTAGGACACAGAATTCAGGGGTTTTCTCTTATTGACACAGAATTATTAAATAGAATTATGATATTAGAAAACTATCAAAAATGTATGGATTTGGGGAATCGTCTCATGTTAATTAGAACTAAATTTTGCTGGAGGTAGTACTTGCCTGTCATCTTTTTTAAAATGTTGTAGCCTTCTTTGCCCCTAAGAGAGATATTTCTGCATCTCTGCTTTCAGCACAGGGTACCTTGATGTGCAGTATCACATCCCTGCAGCGTGTCTTAGTTGCATGCTTCTTAGAGCATGTATTCGCTAAGACTCAGAATTATTAAACATGTAAAATTCCCATAGGACTCCATTATGTGTAATTAACAGATAAACTGTCATCAGAATCAATAAAACGTGCTAAATGATCCAAACTTATATATAATTAAGTGTCTGTTTTAGAGTGGGTACTGTAAGTTTTATTTTTTTGTCTTTTCAATTTGCACATTTGTTTTGACAATAGAAGCTGGAACATTCTTGTTAACCTGTTACTTACTGGTTTATGTTTTGGTTTACATGTTTGTATTTAGAAAGAGAGGTATTTATTATTTTGTCTAATTATCTGAGGAAGTAGTTGCACGTCAGCTTTTAGGAAATGAATCTTAGATGCCTCTTAATTCTCTGAATGTAATTCAGATATTTGAAGCATGTGTGAAACTTGATGTTTAATCATCAACAGGGTAAAACATGAGGCTTTGTCAGACACTGATCCAGGGAATCAGGCTACTGAATACAGGTCTTGGAAACAATAATAGAAGTCAGTTCTTCACTATCCAGCTCCTCAGTTATTATTCTGTCTGGGAACGGTAATGGAAAGCAGCATTGTACTAACTAGTGTTTTCAAGAATAAACTAATTTTGCCATGTCCCAGTTTCACCCTGAGCGAAGCTTGCACAGTGTAACCTGTCCCTAAGACTTGTACCCCTTCACAGCACTTACGTTTTCATATGGTGTTTTATTGGTTCTGTAAGTTTGTCAGCCATCTGCATTTTGGTAGCTGACAGGAGCTGTTTGGTGGCCCCTTTCACCTTTGACTGTTCTTCCTTACTTGCATTCACCTCCCTTTGGACTATATCAGGGCTTTTTTGGCATTTATGACTACATAAAAGTCAGAGAATTAGGACTGCTCATACAAAGTCATCTCAGCATGGTCCAGTAACTGCGTATTCTCAGGGACATCTTTCCTTTCTGTATCTATACAGTTGCGGATTTTACAGTTATTTCAGTTAGATCTTTTCTTATTATTTCACACTTCCATTGCTTTACTTTTTCCAGGTCATGTAGCAGTTTAGTTTAGTTCCTGATGTGTGTTATGTCTAGGCTTGTCACTCAATACTTACACCACCAAAGCATCTCACCTGGAAAGGTACAGGGCAAGGTGTTTCCATTGAGTGTTTTATAAAAAATGCAAAACCCCGACACTAACAAGATAAACCACCGTCTGAGTGGGTGGGAGAGAAGGATTACACCTTGTAGGAGATGTTAGCTTCACAGAACAAAAGCTGTTTAGGAACATGCTAAGTGTTGCCTGTCTGTCTGAATATGCCTGAGAGAGAAAAAAAAAATTGCTAACCCTAGCAGGAAATCCCATCAAACCCGCATTTCCCTAGCGTTGGTGCAGTGGTCCTAATGCCACAATCAGCGTCTCTGAGCAGCGAGTAACGACCATGGCTTCCAACTCGGCAGCCTTGGAACCTGACACTGAGTGTGACTGAGCTTTTCCACAGCAGGGCAGTCATCCTTGCTTCCCTGATAGAACACAGCCCTCCATTCATTCAGCCCTCTGGTGCTGTCATTTCTCCAAAGCAGTAACCGTAAAGATGGTTTGCGGAGCACCGGGGGTGAGTGTTTTACTTGTTCGAGAGGGATGAGGAGAAGAATTACTTACCCGAGAGTTAATTGTGCGTTTGTAGTTCCATGGCATTTCCATATACTTTGCTGAAGGTCAGTATAGAAATTAGTGGGTAATTATCTTCCTCCTTTGTGAAAGGGGATGGGCAGAACCAGTGACAGTGTCGTGCAGCCGTAGCGTTATCAAACTTCTGGCACACCAAACTGAAACCTCCTGTTGCTCTTTTGTTTTGCAGACTCAATGCACATAGAGGATGTTGAGGCAGTGCAGAAACTTCAGGATGTCTTACATGAGGCTCTGCAGGATTATGAGGCTGGGCAGCACATGGAAGACCCACGTCGTGCAGGCAAGATGTTGATGACTCTCCCGCTTCTGAGGCAAACCTCCACCAAGGCTGTGCAGCATTTCTACAACATCAAACTGGAAGGCAAAGTCCCCATGCACAAACTTTTTTTGGAAATGCTGGAGGCCAAGGTCTGACTAAAGCATCATGGGCTTCCCCATCATGCACGTTTTAAAAAAAAAAAAAAAAAAAAAAAAAAAGGGAAAATAAACAGGATAATAATGGCAAAGAAACTTAGTGTTTAATTAAGGAAAAAATGACTGCACTGATATTTAGCAGCAAGACTGTGAAGCAGCTTTCAACTTTTTCTTCTGTGTCTTTCTGATGCAGTTTTTTCTTTTCCTTTTCCTTTCCTCTCTTTTCCTTTCTGTTCTTTCCTTTCCTTTTTTCCTTTTCTCTTTTTTTCCTTTTGCTGCTGAACTTTTTAAAAGAGGTCTCTAATTGAAGAGAGATGGAAGCCAGGCCTGCCAAAGGATGGAAATCCATAATATGGATGCCAGTGAACTTATTATGAACCATAATGTCCCCAATGACAAAGGAATCAAAGAGAGAACCACCGTACCTAGCAGTACAGTACAACACACGATGAACTGACTGAATGCAGTATTAGATTTCATAGGAGCAGTCTCTAATTAGACGACTAAGCGACGATGCATCGGCTGCTTCTTATCATTGCATTTTCCATCTAGATCAGTTACAGCCATTTGATTCCTTAATTGTTTTTTCAAGTCTTCCAGATATTTCTTAGGTTAGCTACAATGTAACTTTTTCAGGGAATAGTTTAAGCTTTATTCATTCACGCAATACTAAAGAGAAAGAAATACTGCATTTTTGTGCTGGCTTGAACAATGATGAACAATAATGAAGGACAAATGAATCCTGAAGGAAGATTTTTTTAAATGTTTTGTTTCTTCTTACTAACGGAGATTTTTTTGTACCAGCTTTACCAGTTTTCAGCCATTTATTAATGTGGGAATTTATCTTACTAAAGCAATAGTTGAAGGGAAGGTGCATATTATCACGGATGCAATTTATGTTGTGTGCCAGTCTGGTCCAAAACATCCAGTTTCTTAACATGAGCTCCAGTTTATAACTAAATGTTCACTGACTCAAAGGATTAGATTACACCTGCAGTATATCCGAGTAGTCTAACATATAAATACTCCATGTCGAATACGAATCCGTAACGGTGTTAGGAGACAGCAGCCGTACAAAGGTATGGTTGCTACGTGATTTCTAACTGCTTCAGTTGCAAATGAACGAGATACTGCCTGTTTGCAAAATTATAACCTCACTCGCAGAAAAACCCTATGAACCAATAGTAGCTTAGAGGCAATGAGGCAAACGCCGCCGTTCGCAAAATTAAGAAATCAGAGTAGTAGACTTCTGACCAAATTGAAGAATTTAACACTTCTGTACCTTATTTATTGATTTAGACTTTATTTTGTAAATGGCGAACCTTAACAAGTAGCTAAACCAGTATATGTGCTTTTCAACCAGTATTGTCACAGCATGAAAGTCAGTCAGTTTCAAGACTGTTACGAGGTGTAATCTAATGTATAAACCGATTAGATGCCCCCAGAAAACTACAGTCGCTAAATAACCAATAAACAATAACCTCCATCAAATGCTATACCAATGTACCAGTGTTAGTAGCTGCTCCCTGTACTATGTGAACATCCTTATTCTATGTACACAGATGTAATTAAAATTGTAATCCTAACAAACAAAAGAAATGTAGTTCAGCTTTTCAATGTTTCATGTTTGCTGTGCTTTTCTGAATTTTTATGTTGCATTCAAAGACTGTTGTCTTGTTCTTCTTGTGGTGTTTGGATTCTTGTGGTGTGTGCTTATAGACACAGGGTAGAATTAGAGACAATATTGGATGTACAATTCCTCAGGAGATTACAGTAGTATATTCTATTCCTTACCGGTAATAAAGTTCTTCCTAGTAATAATTAAGAGATCAAAACTCCAAACAAATACTCGTTATGAACAGATACACACTGAAATCATAATATTTTCAAAACAAGGGATAATTTCTGTAACAGTTTATTATAGAATACCAATGTATAGCTTAGAAATAAAACTTTGAATATTTCAAGATTATAGATAAGTCTAATTTTTAAATGCTGTAAATATAGCTTTTATTCAATCATCTCTCAGATGTTGTTATTAACTCGCTCTGTGTTGTTGCAAAACTTTTTTGGTGCGGACAAGTTTCCAAAACTATTGCTACGTTGTGTGCTTTAAACAAAATAACAATGGCCGATGCTCCGTTGGCCTCGTGCTAGGAAAAAAAAAAAAACTGTGTATCTATCATTAGCTATATGGGACTATATTGTAGATTGTGTTTTCTCAGTAGAGAAGTGACTGTAGTGTGATTCTAGGTAAATCATCATTAGCAATTCATTCAGATGGTCAATAACTTGAAATTTATAGCTGTGATAGGAGTTCAGAAATTGGCACATCCCTTTTGAAAAATGTCAAAAAAAAAAATACAACTCCTGGGAAAAAGGTGCTGATTCTATAAGATTATTTATATATGTAAGAGTGCAAAAAAAAAAAAAAAAGTTTATTTTCCAGAAAGTTTGTGCAGGGTTTAAGTTGCTACTGTTCAAGTACACTATATATATATAAATATATAATATAAGTATTGTTTTTGCTGTATCACATTAAAGAACTTGGGCTTCAGGGTCAAAAGCCAATCAACTAGAAGTATACAAAACCACACAAAAAATGGAGATGTGTTAAAGGCACACGGTGCAAACTTTAGTTTTCATTTTCCGTAATTTTTTGGAGCTGCAAAAGAACAAGTATCTCAAGACTGTAAAACCATTACCTGAAACTTAGCTAAAAAAAAAAACTGCACGGGCTTTATAATGTTGTTCATCTTAAACCTTGCTGGAGAAGAGTTCTTTCAAGACCACTTACTTAATGTGAAGTGTTGGGAAAATTTCAAAGGGTGTATGTTTTAGCCATAACAATTTAATTTCTATTTTTGCTTCATTTTTTAATTTTTTCTTATTTAAAGCAATATGATTGTGTAACTCCCAGAAGTTACACATTTGTTTCAATCAGATCAGATTGTTGTATTTATTCCACTATTTTGCATTTAAATGATAACATAAAAAAGATATAAAAAATTAAAACTGCTATTTTTCTTATAGAAGAGAAAATGGGTGTTGGTGATTGTATTTTAATTATTTAAGCGTCTCTGTTTACCTGCCTAGGAAAACATTTTACGGCAGTCTTATCGTGCAAAGATCGCAAAAGGACAAAAAAAATTAAACTGCTTATAATAATCCAGGAGTTGCATAATAGCCAGTAGTTAAAAACTGAAACAAAACAACAAATGAAAACAAACATGTCTATAGCTGTAGATGGGCTTCACATCTGTATAGCAATCAACTGTATATTTTTGTGATGTGTATCATACCGTGTGCTCCAACCAATGTCCATTTGTGTAAATGTATTTATTTTATATTGTATATATTGTTAAATGCAAAAAGGAGATATGATTCTGTAACTCCAATCAGTTCAGATGTGTAACTCAAATTATTATGCCTTTCAGGATGATGGTAGAGCAATATTAAACAAGCTTCCACTTTTGATTGCTTTTATTTTATTTTTTGTGTTGTGGGGTTTTTTTGGTTTTATTTTCTTTTTTGGAGGAGGAAACAGAGCAATTAGCATTACCTTTTGTTACTTCCATTCAAAACAGAGCCAGTGTTAGCACTTCTCCCTTAAAGTACAATATGAGTGTAAATAAATGCTATGTAAAGCCTTGTCAGAATGAATTCCAGTGTGGTACAAGACATTTTGCATACTCTTAAATATGCAAAATGTCTCATAGCACATTAGAATTCAGGCTGGCAGGCCTTTATATAGCACTTATTTAATCTTAAAGCATCTTCACATCAACCTGCATTACTCAAAATCATTGCCTTTCTGTCAATGCCATAAAAGAAAACTTTCCCACTATTTTAAGATCACATCAATATCATATAGAAGTACTTCTTTTGCTTTCACCATCAACGACTGAGTCTATCATTCATTTCCTACTGCAGGAGACTCCTTTAATGTGTTCTGAGTAAAAATAATAAAAATAAATAAATAAATCTGCATTACTTGATCCAGCGTTGCTGAATGGAAGTAAGTGGCCACCAGAGCAATAATATAGATTGGTGTTAATGAAGAGCACCGATAGCTGTCAGGATCCAGGCGGGTTAAACAGTGCAGCATCAAACTGGCCATAAATGGCCTCTCAGCCTCTTCCCTCCGAGGGGCTGCAGCCCCCCCTCGCTCGGGGCCAGCCCCTCTTTCCTGTGGACCCTTCTGGAACCATCGCAGAAGTGCTAATGTGTGCTTTTCTTGCCTTTTAGCCTATCTTGATAGTGTTTTGTCGTTGTGTTTGCCAACGTATTTCTCACCTTCACTGCTGGCCATTCTCTGGAGGTTCTGGCTGATGGCACAGAGAGGCTGCTGAACACAACGGTGATGCTCAGGGACGGGAATTGTGTCAGCCAAGGTACCGGGGCAGCACCGTGGGCTTTTTGTGCTTCGCAGTCTCTAAGTAGAAATGTACCTTGGAATGGGAGGGCACCCCTTCCCTGCTACTAGTTCTGTCTGTGTTTTAGCTACGGTAGGATATAAGGGGGAGAGGGGTTGACTAAAAGCAGCAGAACAACAGGAAGATGAATCTTGTGTGGACTCCTTGAAGACATTCAGAATTGGGTTTTAGCATTGACACTGCTGCACACATAGGCATACATGCATACACACGTACACATATGCATGCACAGAGCTGGTTTCCCCCCTTTTATATTGCTCTGATTTTTAATTATTGCAAAGTAGCTCTTCAAAAGAAAACCCAACACAGCACCTTAAAAGTGAAAAGAACAGTGTTAGAATTTCTCACACACAGAGGGGAAAAAAATTTGAACAGGGGCACTCCTAGTCTTCCTCACCGTATGATTGACTCTAACGTTTGGCTAAAGTTTTCATGTACAATTAAAAAAAAAATCATAATTTCTCCACCATTTTTCATGAGAGGATCAGAAGCACCATCCAATCAGAAAGTGAGCATTACAGAAATAAAAATGCAGGGAAGGCTAAGATGACTCCACTCCTAGGAATGCAGCTCTGCAGAACTGTTCTGGGTTTTTTCTTTCTTTCTGTCTTCTCCCTACTCTCTCTCTGCAGTAAAGACAGGACAAGCACAGAAATCCATGGGAAATGTTTCAGGAGGCAGTAATGTTTCGGTAGGAATCTGTGGGGAATTTGGCTACACTGCAAAAATAGTTACTAAGTCCTTAAAGAAAACAAAAAAAAGGGCTCGGGATTCTGGCATTTGGAGTTCGACCAACACACCCTGCTGTAGCTCTCAACTGCTGCAGCCCCAGCCTGTGGCTACCGCAGCACCACTCGGCTAAAATACGGAGATGGCAAATGGAGAGAGCTTTCCCATTAAATGGGATATGGCTTGGCTCAGCGAATTCAGGTTTTGACTGATATGGTTTACGTCGCCCTTCCCCTCCCCTGCTTGCCCTGCCCTCCCAAGAAAAGGAGCCATCCCAGGCCAAGAGCACAGTTTTGACTCCGGAGGTGCTTGTTTTGAGAGCCTCCTAGCCCTGCCACTGTGCCAGCCTGGCCGTGGAGCGTTCTGCTGCCCCACGCTGTGACACTGGCACCCGTGCCCGCTCCCACGCTGGCCGATGCCGTCAGTAGCGATGCAAAAGGAAAACGCTGCTGGCTGAGCTGGCTCCTAAATGGAATGGGATTTATGACAGGCTCCAGTTTTCTCTGGAGCTTCAAGTAATGGCTTAACTGGATGACATTTGGGCTCTTCATATGGTTGGTGGGGTTTTTTTGACTACCTGAGTTTGCAGTATGAGAAGGTCTGGCAAACACCAATAAAAAGTGGTCTGGTGTGATCCCTCCAGTTGGTCCTTTCTCAGTGAAAGAAACTACATAAAAATCATGTGCTAGTCAGTGCTGTTGCACATGCAGTTATGTTTGCTTCTTAATACACGATGCCACTGCTGCTGAAAGAGTATCAGAGGTTAGCTGTGGATAAAAAAGCCAACCACCAAACCCAAAATGAAATATTATGAAAGATAACAGAGACGGAAATACTGTCCTTAGACAAGCTCTCATGTTGTATGTATATAAGTGTCCTGCAGCATTGCCCAGTCATGCCCTGCTGGGGAAAAAACAAAACCTAAGCACAAAAACACCAGAGGTTTTTTTTTATGTACAGGCTTTTGCAGCAGAAAATGGCTCTTTTTTATTAACATCAACTGTCCTGGATCTTGCACTAAACTCAAGAATGGGACAGCTTCCATCTGTTTTCTACATTTTTTCCATAGCCTTTGTTAATTTTCCTTAACAGCTTTCTTGCACCTTTCCTTTACTTTGCATTTCATCTCTCTTGTGTAATGTAGGTCTCTGATTTCACATGGCACTTTGCTAATTACTGTATACTTCGTTATACATCCTGCCTGCCGTAGCTGCCTCACAAGGCATGTGTTTTGTCCTTTCTGATGAAATGCTGATTCAGTGTGTCTATACATTGCCTTTATCATACAGATCACAAACTTCCTCCTTGTGTTTGCTGTTAAAGAAAGGGAAAAACCCAAGTAACTGTGGAAAAGAATACGGATGCATTTATTTGCTCTCAACATTTTTATTCAAAAGTGTTGGCGCTGCCACATCCTGGCCATGCTAATCGTTAGTGTTTTGTTAAGATTAAGGGCCGCTCACTCCTAGTGTTCAGATTCCCAAGCCTAGCTCCTTACAATCTCTGTTAATATAAAGAAGCAAGTGGAGGTAGATTGATTACACGCAGGCTCTTATTATTAAGCAGAATAGAAAAGAAAGGAATTTCAAAATATAATCCTCCGTTCCCAGGAGTATTTGTCTTGTTCTCCATGAAGTTAAAGGTCTGAAATAATGTGCCCATCAGGAGCTCAATGTTGCATGTCCATGCCAGTTGGTCCAAGGGCTTGTTATGATGGTAATGACCTGCTGAAACGTGAGCTTTGATGGCAACAATACAATTGCTACCAGCTCACCCGCTGGGAGAAATATTTTATTATTGTCAAATGCCCTCCGCAGAGATTTGTTTTGCCTGTTCCTGTTTAAATTAAATTCAGAGCAGAACTGCATTATTATTTCTCTAGAGTATATTTGAAATAAACAACTAGTCTCCAAATTTAGGATTCCTGGTTAGTTTAAAATTTCTTATTAGCAGAAAAATTGCAATAGGTGACAACATAGCTGCAGGAATATTATTATGGCAGCCATACAAGAGATTTACACACTGAGAGCATGGCCTAAAAGCACAAGAACTCCCTTCTACTTTACAAATGCCAGCCAAATTAATAATTAACTGTGCCATAAATTGTCCAGCCTTCAAGAATGATGTCAATGCTCTTCTGTGTCACACTAGAGGAATTTTGTCATAGGACTAAGTGGTGTTCTTTATAAAGAGCGTTACTTATATGCAGAAAGCGGCCCAGGAAAACAGCCCTTGCCACTCCATATTACAGCAGCTCGGCAAACAAGTGACAGCAGGACTTCAGAGTCATTTACTGCTGCTTTCTCAAGGCAAAACTATCTCCTTACCCCTGTGAAACAGAGCAAATTTTGTTCCACATTAAATGGGCCAGATTATCTCTTCCACAAGCTAAAGAGACAACACTAAATCCCAGCTCATGTAATTTCCTTCAAAATTGTTCTGCTCGGTCTGGGTGTTCCCAGGAGCGCCACCAGCAGAATTATCCAGCAATTCAGCTGTACTTAAATTGGCAGATGTTGGAGATTTAAGACAGTCCCGGAGCCTTAGCACAAATCCTCTACTTCTGTGCTGCCTCGTGGCCTCTCCTCGCTCTCCAGCCGATGCCACTGTGGCTGCCGAGCAGCTGATCCTGTGGCCCCACAGCCTGCCGGGCAGCGTCACGATTGCCTTGTTTAATCCAGCACCCCGAACCAGGAGGGCAGCAGAAGATATGCTGTGGGTTTGCATCTCTGTCTGCTTACAAACAGGCTCTTAACCCTGCATTTCTCATTCATGGGGCCCAGTTGTGCGCTGCTTGTTTGCCTTTTCCCTGCCTCCTGAGTGCTCATACCGGTGAAAAGCTGCTCCATCTCAAGACTGGGTGATTTTTGTGCCCTGCTTTGCTGAGAGATGCTTTTCCCAGAGAGGCACTTGAGCAGTGCCACACAGGCATCTGAGTATGGGCAGGGTAAGATAATGGTGCAAGGGCAGGTTATCTGCCCCACCTCGAGATGTGAACATCTTTTAGAGGAGCTGCCACACACCCGAAGAGGGAGGAGCACTTACAGGGGAGGGAGGACTGCCAAGTGCACTTCCCCTGCAGCGATCCCCCCTTCAGCTGCCCTTATCAGCTCTTTGCACAAGCTACAAAGCCACCCACAGCAGCCGTGGCATGGCCAGCAGAGAATGGGGACCATTGCGTCCAGAACCGCGAGCTGGTGTGGTTGAGGGGGGCAATTTTCGCAAAGTACAGACGTTTGCCCATCTGGGTGCGAGGGGAACCTGCTGCAGTACTCCTCAACAGGCTTTTCAGAGAGAGAGTTAAAGGGTA